ACACTGGATCCGTCAACCGCAGGTACAAGTCTAACCCCTTGAGGCTTGCCATTGGATGGCCATTCAAATATCTCGTCCAAATCTTGCATATCTCGATCATGGAATTGCGGATACTTGTTGAAGACAGAACCGTCATTAGTCACGTGGCATGATTCTATTGATCGCTTTCTCATAATAGCAGCGATTGCAAGTGCATATAGACGCGGTGCCCGTTGTCTGATCCACTGTGCGAGTAGCTGGCAAAATAGCGTAAGATCAGAGCTTGTCGGCGGAGCTAGCATCAATGGCGCAACAGGTTGAACATGCTAGTGCGGCTGAAAGACTACAGGACCATGCTGCTCACGAGTACGGCGGACGATATCGGCCAATCTCCAAAACCCCTTCCCGCCCTTACTACCGCCCCCATAAGTAGACTAGCCTACTAGGCCCTTGTCACCGCCCTTAACTATCTTATATAACCAATCAATCACCTAATCCTCCTCCATCACCATCGAATGCTCCTCCATTATCATCGAATGCTCCTCCATTATCATCGAATATCACTATGCCCCGGCCTTCTGTTAACCTTGATCCTTACCAGGAGGAAATTACTAGGCTTGTTTATGCGAATTCTACCAATAAGGATATCTATGCTTTCTTGCTAAATACATATAGTATTAGGATCTCTCCTACTACTTTATGTAGACGGCGAAATGCATAGGGTCTTCATACTCCACGGGCTTACTACCAAAAGGATACTCCTAATAAGATCAATCGTAATCAGATAGTATATAACCTTCTTCAGCTATCGTTAGATACGCAGGAAATCCTTCGTCTCTTACAAAAGAAGGGGATACCATCATCTAAACGTTCTCTTTATCGTATACGGCAAAAGCTTAGTGTTAAGCTACGTATTAACGATGCTGCTAAACGAGCGTCTCAGGAAAGAATTATTAAGAGGATTCTTACTGCAGAGGATCAGATTAGAGATATTGAAGGATATAGCCGACGTTACCAGCAAATTCACCTGCGTAGCCAGGGAGTTTTCATCGCAAGGTAAGTATCATATAGTCGTGTTTATCGGTCATATAGTCGTGTTCATCGGTCATATGGTTGTGGTTATCGGTCATATAGTCGTGTTGGTTAGCGATATGTTTACTAACGATTATATAGAGATCGTGCCTATGAAATCTACCGAACTATTAACCCAGATACGATTAATGACCGCCGGTCTAGCTTTCAACGCCGACGAGGTGCCTATATATGCGATAGGCCTAATGCAATTTAGCATCTTGATGGCTATATAAAATTAGAACCTTTTGGTATTAAAATCTACGCAGCAATTAATAGCTACTCTCGATATGTTATATAGATATATATCGGGATATCTGCACGTACTACAGTAAGTATCCTTCGGCAGTATCTTGATTGTGTGAGATCGAATACAGTAGGTATATACCACGAAAGCTTCGGGTTGATCTTGGTAGTGAGACGGTATTAATTAGTGATACCCATCTTACTCTACGAGAATCGCTTCTATCACCATCGAATACTCCTCCATCACCATCGAATGCTCCTCCGTCACCATCGAATGCTCCTCTATCACCATCGAATACTCCTCCGTCACCATCGAATGCTCCTCTATCACCATCGAATACTCCTCCATCACCATCGAATGCTCCTCGATCACCATCGAATACTCTTCCATCACCATCGAATACTCTTCCATCGACATTATCATCAGTTTCTCGGTTTCGAAACTACTTTATCTACGGGCGTAGTATTAATAATCAACGTATTAAATCCTAGTAGGGGCAGCTTGCACAGTCAAGTCTCTTCGTCTATCATGAGTATTTTAATATACTCTTAGGCGATAGAATCTATTCAAAGCAGTACATTCCTAAGCAGGTAAGCAGCGGTATATCCTCGACAATTTAACCTAGTAATCCCTACTAAAAGATATCTAGATAGTACTTCTTACCATCTATATGCCTATTCTACGAGCTCGCATTCAATCATTCGTGAGCAGTATATAGAATATACACCCGATTCGTAAACAGCCTAAGCGGCCACATATCGTTTCTGGTAAACCAATGATGAATTACCACTATCCTCCCGAAGGTATTCCTAATTATAAGGAATCTTTTGACCCTTCTCTTCTCCAGAGGTATAATTCTATGGTTAATTCCTTATATTCTATAGTCAATTCCTTCTATTCTATGATTCATTAATCGTATACTATGATTCATTGATCGTATACTATAATTAATTCATCTTATATTAGGCTCCAGGAGGATGTGGCAGAATAGGATCCTGCTGAATACCTTCCACCTTCTACACTAGCTTAGTACCGTCTACAATTAATAGAAATTGGCCAGCAAGAAGTAAGCGAGCCGTTTGACCCTAAAGACCCTCTCATTCAGCTTCTAGGTGATAGAAAGCAGCCATATCGGAAGGTATATAAGACTATGCGTGCTCGGGCCCTTCTACACGACCAATTAGGTACTTTACCTATATTAACACTAAGTATAAAACCTACCGGTGCATTCTCATAGGGTCCGAGCGCCCAATAGCATCAGGGCGCATAAGCTACTTAATCTATAAGATTAGAAGACGGCATAGCATATTCTCTCTTTCATCGAACATATTCTCTCTTTCATCGAACATATTCTCTCTTTCATCGAACATATTCTCTCTTTCATCGAACATATTCTCTCTTCCATCGAACATATTCTCTCTTCTATCAGGATGGCATCTGAACTATCTTTCCCCCTCGCTACTCTACAGGCTACTCTTAAACAGCTATTAGAGACTATATCGGCAGCTACAGATCCTTCTTCATCTACATCATCATCAACAAGAACACCAACAGCTACACCAACACCATTATCATCATCGATATCTAATATTTCGACATCAGCTTCGCATATTCCAGCATCAGCTTCGCGTATACCATCGCAGCTCAATTCGCGTTTTAGAATACTTTCTGGTACTACTAGCCAGGTTCGCAGTGCTTATATTAGACGCCCACAGGCAACTATACCGCCACCACCACCAGAAGAGGTCACAATCAATATATCCTTCTATCTATTAATAGAGAGTGAGGATATTATACCAATTAAAGGTAATATACTATCTTCCCTCTATCATATACTTCTATATTCTTACCATTTACTTCTATAGGTGTATATATCTCTACCAACATAATTCCTTCGTAGGAATGGCTCACTATGGGTAGTTTTGTATACTCTCTAGTACAAAAACTATATTACCTACCTATTAATTTCGAATTCAACCACGACGATAAGGCATTCCTAGCTAGGACGGTTACACAGTATACAAAGAAAGGACCATTAGAAGCGCAGTATCTCCTACCTACTAGTCCATCTAGGTCTACTAGGTAGACTTCTAGTCAGTTATACCGATTAGTCAACCAGGAGAAGGGGGCAAAGGTCTTCTATATTATTATAAAACGATCAAAAGAGACCGTGGAAAGGATAGCACATGGACTACCATCTCGAGCTACGATATCAATTAAAAGACAGCTAGGATCTATGGAAGACTCGGCAAGCATCATGGAAGACCCGGCGGGTATTATGGAAGACCCGGTGGGCATCATAGAAGACCTACCACGAAGGAAGCGAAGACGTGCTACACCACCACCAGTAACGCGGCGGAACTTACGTCGGCGACTACAAGGATAACAGAGACTATGTATTTATACTAGAGGAGGGAATTACTACTGTCGGTAAATCATGTACTTAATAGTTATATAATTTAAATTATCCTTTTATTATATCAGTCCTTAATGACGATAGAAGAGCATTCAATGGCGATGGAGGAGCATTGGATGGTGATGGAGGAGCATTGGATGGTGATGGAGGAGTATTGGGTGATGGACTTAGAAGTTTAGATGTAATTCTGCCGTTTTTCTGCCAGTTCTATCTAGGGGTTTTAGAGATTGGCCGTTATCGGCCGCCGTATCACGAGCAACAAAGCAGCGGCCCTTACGATAAGCAACCCTCGACAACAGTCAGGCCAAGAGTTCGTCTGTCAAACGTATAAGTTGATGAAGCGACTGCGGAGAAACGGAAACCGCATGAATGATCTGTGGGTCCCTACCAGCAAAGACAATGAATTGCTAGGTCTGGCTAAAGAGCAAGCCAGAACCGCGACCCAAAAGGATGCTTCCCCACAAGAATGGGTTCCCAGGATGAAGTTAAAAACGCTGAATATCGCTCGATCCCAAGCAGCTACCAGCAATGACCTGCCAGAGAACGTAGGAAGACACGTGAAACGAATTGATGCAGCTCTGCCAGGAAAACACACTCGACAGCTGTATGATCGATTATCGTGGAAAGAAGCGAGCATGCTGGCCCAACTCCGGACTGGAATGGCCAGACTCAATAGCTATCTTTATCGGATCAACGTCGCAGAGACAGACCAGAGTGTATGTGGACAAGCAAGAGAAACCGTGGAACACTTCCTCTTTCGATGTCGGAAGTGGACCACACAACGAACAGCACTACTGCAATGTAGCCAATCCCACCGGGGCGATCTCTCCTTCTTTCTAGGAGGGAAATCGCCCTCAGATAATCAGCGATGGACGCCGGATTTGGAAGCTGTGCGAGCCTCAATACGATTCGCAATCGCCACGGGCCGACTTGACGCCACCTAACCACGTCGACCAACACAATGACACCATCCTCACTAGACTGCGGCAACATCCTCAATATCCATGGATATCCGCATATCCTCTCCGCAAACTGTGGATATGGTATGTCACCCAACATCCTCAATCCTCAAATTTATGGATATGGTATAGCACCCGATATCCTCTGGATATTTAAGGATATCCAGTGGATATCAAAGATGCCAAACATGCCCAGCCTCGTGACCTTTTTGAGTATGCATTACTTATGCGGACTCCTTTGTATTTTTCAAGTAATCACAGTGTAATAATTAATTATCGAAGGTTTTAATTTCGTAGACATGATGTTATTATCTTCATACTACATGGTCTATCTTAAATCAATCTGAAATCCGTCAGGTAACCTTGGTTGCTTCCGAATCCGCCCCGACCGTCCTTGTATGCCCTCATGTATTGGCATTTCTGGAAGGCCATCATCATCGTCATCAAATGCCTCAGACAATCGTCTCTTTGATCGTTTACACTGTAGTTGCTTACTTCCATCAGCCCTCCCACCATCTGAATTCTCATCGTAGCTTTCTATCAGTTGTGTATCCTCAATGCTAAGCTCTTGATCTTCCTCTTCGTTGTCACTAATTGGCTCAAGAGTTTCAAGCTGGGGCATTGGTTTCCGAGCTTGATCTAACAATGCGGCTTCCCCGGCAGAAAGATGCTCCTTGATAACCTCCATCTCCTTCTGCTCAACCTCAAAGTTGGTGGCGAACTGATGAAGCATCAGTTCTCGGATCGTACTTGGTTTTAATTGACCACGACGATAGTGGCAGATATCACGAGCGTAATTGAATAATCGCTCAACGCCTGCGCCACTAGCTGGGATCGAGAGAATATCCCGTGCCATCCTTGCAAGAATAGGGAACTCATGCTCATGCTCTTTCCAGAATGCTCGGGGCTTCTGTCTCTCAATTCCCCGGGCAAGATACCTCGCAATCTCGTCGTCTTCAGACTTTGAGAGCTCTTCCTGTGGCTGATTTTGAGAAGCACAAGCAGCATCGAGATCACAATCATCGTCATCTAGGGCCTCTCTAGTGGTATCTTGTAAGACCACAGTATCTGAATCACGGCGAAGTATATCTTTGTATTGATGAAACTCTCGCTTGAGGACTCCATGATAGTGTTTCACGTAGTCAATTTCACCTTGCCAGTCTGTTGATGCAAAATATCGAAGTTTCTTTGATGGGCAAAGAATCGTTGCTAGTGCATAAACATCGCCGTATGATTCATGATCAGTAGCAGTATAATACTTTGAGAGCTTCCTTTTTGCAATCTGAAGAGCCTGGAGCATACGCTTCTTCCAGATAACTCCTTTATTCTTCAACTTACTCTCAGCTTCATCAAGATGAGAGAAAAGCTTGTTATAAATACTATAGATATTATGTGCAGTAATATCTCTGGTCTTTGATAACATGTTGGTGAAGTCAAAGAAAGGCTTTGTAAGAAGAAGAAGATATTCAATCTGCCGCCACTCTTCGTGATCAAGTTTGAAGTGGAGATATTGATGATCTGTACAATACTGATCGTAGAATGGCTGTAGCCTTTTGGCTCGATTGAGCATCATAAAGGTTGAGTTCCATCGCGTTTGGACATCCTGAATAGGGATTAAAGGAGACTCCTTGGTTTGTAGAGCCATAAATGCCTCCCGGCGTTGTGGGCTTGCATTGATAAAGACTGCTAGACCTCGGATCTTAAACTTTCTAATTAGAATTGACTTAAAAGTATCTGGAATAATAGGAACTTACCTTCTTTAATGTATCCGTAATTTGTTTAGATGAGCTAGATCGTTTAGTCTGAAACGAGTGGGTTCGTTCATCAGACCACTCCAGCTCAATCTCTTTATTATGTGGTGTCACTTTCAGCTTCCCAAGAAGCTCATTTAAGCTTAATTGGATCACATGCGCAATACATGGGACTCGGAAGATTAAGGTATCCGATCGACTTTGTGACTGGATAGTCTCTTGGACATTCAGCATCAAGGAGTTATTATTAGTTGCATTATCTGTGGTCACAGATAATACGCGGTCGGTGATCCCATGATTGGCCAGAAGCTGAATCACAGTTTTACTTAGATTCTCACCAGTATGTGATCCGTAAAGATGCTAAAATCCAAGAAGAACTTCACAGTAATTCCAATCCTGGTCGAGGAAGTAACCTGTAACAGCCATGGATGCTTGCTGGAATGGTGATGTCCAGCAATCGAGCGCTATTGAAAGGCGACTCCTATCTGGAAGCCTTCCAAGAACCTCCTCCTGGTTACTCTTGACTGCAGAGTCAAGATAACGCCGTATACTTCGCGCAGAGGGGATATTGACCTTGCTTGGGGCTTGCTGAATAACCTCCACTAGGCTCTTGAATTGGGTATGCTCAATGATGCGGAAAGGTAGGTGAGCGGCAGAGATAAAGTCTAATATCGCTTTTGCTAAACGCTCCTGGGAGAAGGGTAGACTTTGTGGGAGACTTGGCTTTTAGATAGTAGATAAATATTAGTAAGAGAAATATTAAGAATCTGGATTATAGATAAATAACATACCATCTGTTTAAGAAGCTGATCAATCCTCTGGGTAGGCTTCCGAGCACATGAGCCTGCCTTAATATGTGCATTCATTGGCGATGACCCAGCACGGCGATATCTTGGATGAACAAGGGTACAGAGACATGTTGTACATATAACCTTTGGCTTGCCGGTCTTCTCATGTGCAACCTGATTGAAGTTATCCCAGACATTAGACGTCTTTTTCCCATCCCAACGGATAGAGTCTTGTATATCAGGCTTCGATCCAAACTCTGTGGTTAACCACCACCTTACAAAGCTCTTCCGGGATTCATCCATATCGCTACTTGGCTCGGGGGAGTAGAGGACCCAGTATTGCTGAAGAGGGGGACCAACACGAGGAAGCGAGAGAGGTGCAGTCGGAGATGAGTCCTTTGAAACAGGTGTCAATGGAGTTTGGCTGCTAAAAAGATCGGAGATATTATCTGAATGAAGTAGATCAGGATTCAGACCTAGATCTGAATCAGCATAGAAGGAGTAGTGGGACTGAGATGCCTGTGAGTAAGACATATTGTGCTTGATACAAATTACCCAGAGACAGGCTGATAGATGAAGAGAGAGAGAAACACATACATATATGACCAGCTGAAAATATCAGGGGTATGCCTACCAAGTCGCGAGTCGCGGGCGCGTTTTCGATATATCTCTAGCTTTTAATAGCGATGATTGGCTATTACTAATCACTAGTGTGGATATCTGAGGATAATTAAGGATATCTATGTGGATATCCACAAGATATCTGCGGATATCCTCAATTGTCCTCGGATACTGATTTTCAGAGAGAAAATGGAATCACTGTCCATAGAATGACAATTTCCGACCGGGATTTCTCTATACTTTTACGAGATAACCTAGTTTAAGAAATTGATATACTTCAAAGTATGCTAAGGCCGGTTATTTTATGTCGGATTTAATAGATTCGACCGAGAAATAGGGATTTTTATCTTATATGCTTGAATAGTTCAAATACCCGACATTGATGGCTGAAGCAAATATATATTTCCGTGGTAAAGTGCCATGAACAACAAAATCTCGGCTATGTCGTTCAGTATATCTTGAAAAATAAAATTGATACTACGAGTAATAGTAAGGCGGGAAATGTTACTTAATCTAAGACGATTTCTTAATATTCTATTAAGGAACAGAATAAATGATATCGTTAGTATGGTCAGGACCGAACATGTGTATTTTTTGATCTGAAAATTGGATTGATAAGCTGCATAAGGGGCACATGACTACCTATAAGTAGACAATTAAGCGAGAATTATGCTAGTGCGGATATCCGCAAGATATCCTCATATCCTCGCGGATATCCATGGATATCCTCATTAAGGATATGGTATTAAATTAATGTCCATTATCCTCAATGTGCGGATATGGTATGTGACCCAATATCCAATGGAGAGGATATGCCGCAGTCTAATCCTCACCAACCTACACCTACCACCTTGTGCCAAAGATGGTGGACGCGCTTCAACTGCCGAAGATAGGATGTTGAACACTTGGAGAAGCGCCTTCAAGCCAGTCTACTAACCAAATTACTAACCCACAAGGATCCCTATGATACTGATAGCTGAGAGGACATATCCGGCAAAGATCCATGTATGGGCTTGAAGGAGATACAGCATATATATATATTAGGACCTGTATTAGTAGATGAGTTTTAGTTGCCCTTTCGGCTTAGCCGCCGGGCGTTAATGAATTGTATGTGTGTATCAGGCACGGTGGCTTAAATGCCTTTTTGAGATTTCTCACTTCGCAGTCCGGAGCAATCCATGCTTGCTTACTAATCGCCTCCAAAGCGAGGCGATCTGAGCAAGCAGGCTCATCAAAACATGACAGGATAGCGCCCGACATATTGCTTTTCCATTCCAGTCAACGGGCGGGCATGGTAATTTTCCCACTTCTTTGGCGATCCTTTGCCATTGTAAGCAGAATGTATTTAGCAGTCATAACCCAAGATTTACAATATTACAGTAGCACTTGATGAATGTTGCAAGTAGGCTTCTTTCTCAAGACTGAAAATCGTCGAAACGAGTGGACGGCGCTTCCCTTCACCGGTGCACGACCGACACACTCGACAACGGTGGTATCTAGCCCCACCACCCTCTCTTTTCACCACCCTCTCTTTTCACCACCCTCTCTTTTCACCACCCTCTCTTTTCACCACCCTCTCTTTTCACCACCCTCTCTTTTCACCACCCTCGCTTTTCACCATCCTCTCTTTTCACTACCAACATGTCAACCATCTGATTGCCTCGAGGACCTGTTAACCCGCTACGTCCCTCGAGCACTCCTATTTTCAAGCGACTGGCTGGGGTTCTTACTCCGCACCAGACAGACCTTGCAAAACATTGGCTTACATTACTTAGGTACAGTAGATTTCGAAAACAGATTACCCCCCAGACACGCACGCTTTCTTTTCCAATTGACACACTAACGGGCTACTCTATTTGTTAATAAAGCTGATAAAGAGCTTTGGTTTGCCTGCTCTCCACTATTTTCTGGGGTCATAGGCTGCACGTTCCGGCACAATAGCTTCCCACCAGCCATTACCAGCCCAAGTGACATGACCCATAGCTCCCACCTTCAAAGCTTCTTCTCTTCCCTAATACTGATACAGAGTAAATCTATCACCACGTCGGAAATGGCTGGACACACACTTAGAGCGTCCCGCACAAACATAGGTATAAACAGCTAATCTCATAGGCAAGGAACGAATACACTCAGCTATTGCTTATCCCATGATGTTTGTGTTGAATCTAGATCAACTTAGGTCAATTGCAACCATTCTTGGATCCACGCAAGAAAGTACGGTAAACCCGAAATCGGACCATAAAATGTGTTTTTTAAAATGGCATCGAGAACGTCATAATCCTAAGTTAGGGAGAATTGAACTGATCCAGTTCCAGCCCCTCAAGAGAACCCTCTAAGGCCCCGAATATGGATGCGAAAGAGGATCCAGGGCAGCTGTGTTTATTGTTGGAAGTTTGTATATCTTGAGGGGGAATGATACCATTCGGGTGATCGGAAGTCCGTCATTCTCTGTACGAGAGACTTGTAATTGACATTCGGAAAAGGTATCTCGGGCTTCGTCAGAAGTAGATCTTTTGACTGGATAGTCAAAGCACCGTACATAATTGAGCAACATTCAAAGCGGCAGCCCCGAGCGCCGAGTAAATACTCTTTCCGTGTATCGCCGAGAAGGTCAATCAACTTTTAGATAGCTTTCTCTCTGCGTTCATTGATCGAAACTATAAACCATAAGTCTCTAAGCATTCAGAAGAATGTACATACGCTCACCCAAGACATCTTCCGGGATCGGAAGTCCCAAATTATCAATACGACCATCGCTCTGCGACATAGCGATTGAAGTGGATAATTTGAACTGGGAAGGGAGTCGGAAAAACCAAGATATCCACAACCATAAAATCAAATCCCTCGAAGCGACTGACGGAGTCTGCTCGTCCACTTTCTCGATCCAGAGTTCTGCCAGAAATTCCAAAGCCTCCCGGCATTCGTAATAGTCTGCAATAACAGCAACCTTCGCAAGCATCTCCAGGGTCAGCTTTCTAGGTATGTGAGAGTATTGACCGTGTATAGCTCGAAGTAATATCTTGAGCGCCTCAACATCCCAGCCTTCTGCAGTGATCTCAACTGACCTCTTCTGGAAGTAAGCAGTGCTTCCTTTCCAGCCTCCAGTAAGCAGCCTTTTGAAAAACGGAGAGGCAAACATCAGATGCTTCGCAGAGACCTGAAAAAGCGAGCAACTCTGATCTATATGGCCTTCAACAACAGGCTCTTCGGCAGTGGTAGCCTCGACAGGGGGCTCTTCAGCGGCGAAGTCTTCAGCAGCGGACTCTTCAGCAAAAGACCTTCTTTTCTTTCCCTTCCTCTTATCCCTGTTCTCGGTCTGCACCTTGAGATTCGGCTCTAACGGTTTGTAATTGAATATTGGAATCCCAGTCAACCCCTGAGAAATCGGGGAATTGCCCGAACTCAGGGGTTTGCCAAATGATAATTGAGAGATGTCAAGCCATCGATGGGTACATGCATCTCCCGTTAGTTGGGCAAAGGGGCTGTTCGCATTGCGCAGTATTATGATGACTTCACCTTCTGGATCTATAATATGAGTTATCAAATCCATGGTGGGGCGTAGATTGGCTTAAGAGTTGAATATACACTTGACGTCGATGAAAATACTTAAAGGTGATGAAGTGTAGTTGCAAAACCATGGTCCCTGGGTCAAGACATAAGATAAGCTAAAGCACAAGCTGATCGGGCACCGTTACTGTAGGCACCAATAATTTTCTTTCAATCGGGGTTCCCAAGTCACAACGTGGCTTGGTGTTTTTCGGGGGTTCTTTTCTGTTTGTACTATTTACTGCGTTCATAAACCTTCATATCCTTCCCTGACAAGAGCACGAGCTTACTGTGTGAGAACTGTGACATTTAAGAAGAGAACGCGAGTGGGGAAGCACTAAGGATACAGTTGATCTTCCTAGACGGAACTGATACATTATTGCAATATTGTTACAAAACGTTCTAGGCTCCTGGATAAGGTACCCATCAATCGAGACTTGTCACGGTTGCCTGTTGCTCTTCCTCTCTGACAGATCGATGGCCGACAACAACTCACCAGATTACATGGCTCTCTTTCTGCTGGCAGAACAGAGGCGCAAAGAGGCCGAAGATGAAGGAAGGCCCTCGACTAGCTTTGACGGGCTTTCTTGGAGTCTGTTGCCTGCTGTAACAATGGGTGTCTCGAACCGGGGGACGAGCCTGTTCAGCTGGGTCATTGCGTGAGGTGACTGCGGCGGCAGGAGTAATTGCCGTTTGCTGGGTCTGCTCAAAATCTCGAGAACCGTTATCGTCCAGGATTGCCGGGTCGATCGTTGGGTCCTCCAAAGAAATGGGTCCTTCAAGAAGCCCAAGTTGAGGATGCTGATTAGGCGTGAAATGGACTTCCGGGCCACTTGAGTTACAAAGAAGGAATTGATGTTCAGAATCCGGGGCGATTTGTTCAAATATCATTGTACTATCAATCTCTTCAGAGGTAAGGAGACCGTCAAGATAAAGTGAGTCCTCAATGTCGAAGGTCGGAGGACTAGGATTGATTGGTGATGCTGAGGCCAAATCCTCAGATTTGTGTTGAGTGTTCGATTGTAGACAGTGGTTTAAACAAACTTCTGCCGGTGGGCGAGCGTGTAGGGGGTGGCGCCCAGGCGTTGCAACATACATCTACCTGGCTCTGTGAAATGGGGTGGTTAGGATGGGAGGAAGGCGGCATCGCGCAGATGGAGACTGGGCTTAAGTACCGAGAAAGACTGAGGCGATCCCGCAAAGGCTGCACTTTCTCTTGGGAAGGGTTCCACGGACGGAAGGATTCCAAGCGATAACTGGCGCTTGACATATTGCGTGTGTAGAGGGAAATGGGTATGGAGAGAGTGTGGCGGAGGGGACACTGGAAGGGGAAATAAAGCCAGAATCGATACGGAATTGGGTGGAAGGGGGGAAGGAACTCGGAATGGTTTTGGAGTGCCGCATTGTGAATGGGGTGGAAGAGCTAGATTACTTTATACCCACAAGACGGACCTTGAGGGAGAACGCAACTCTCCTATTGCGCGAGGTATCCCCCTCCTTCGCCAGTAATCAGATGCAGAACTCCCAAAAACACGCAAACATGCTGCTCCTGATCACACTGCCAAGCGCATGGTCTCGAGAATACCATCTCACGCCGCCTCCGCGGACGGAACTGCTCATCCACCGCCCGGGCTGCGTTCGCTAGCACTGGAGTCAATTGTCGCACGCGGGATTTTCGCCATTGGCTCACGGTACCGAGCTGAGCTGTTAGAGATAAACAGAGGCTTGTGGTAGCGGGGCTTGTTGAACCGAGCATGGCGATAAAAGCCTGGTGAACGAGCAGAGGCAGGTGAATATCTGAGACACCGGGGGCTGCGCAATGCAACTTCGGCAACAACCATGCAAAAAATGGGTCCAGTGGCGAGGCCGTCCGAGATACTCCTGCCAGCGCGAGCGACGCGGACGAAGTACAGGATGTGTGACCGCAAAGGCTCAGGAAACAGAAGGCATTCTTAGTCGCTCTGTAATATGATCAACAACAATAGTCACATTGAAAAAGAAACAGCGGGCATAGACTCACGCAAAAGCTCTGTAAAGAGAATCTCTCAGCGCTTCCACTGCTGACTGACTGGAAAGCATCGCAGTTCACGAGGCCGAACCGGGGCTGAGCGGCGGCGGGTCGAGCGGGACGCATGGCGAAATCCGATGTGCGAGGTCATTTCGGGGCGCAAAGAAGGAGCAAGGCGAGCTTCCATGCGTATGTGTCAGTGGGGGCGGAAAAACAAGGGGGCGGCGAGAGGGTGGGAAGCAGAAAAGAAAGTGCGTCGACGAGTGGAGGGAGGGCGAGCGGTGTTTTATAGATGAGGAATGCTGATGGCGTGGGTGGTAAAAGCGGCAACTGCGGCGCTATAAAGCTAAAATACGGCGAAGGCGGTCGTTATCTGAAGGGAACATCGAAAGCTAGTGTCTTGAAAGCTGATTAGAAAGGGTTTCGGGGTTACTATCGGAGAATTACGCGGACTAGGATAACTACGGAAGATAGTGAAGAGATTAACGCGGTAAGTCCTTTCTATTTATCTACAGTTAAAGCTAACTAAGTTATAGGGTATTCGGCTACTCATCGATAAATTCAACCTCGATTAATAGTAACGGGGCAAGGAGCCTAAATATATCCAAGACTTAACGGAATTGAACGAGACGATTCTCCGAACTTAGGAAAGGCGTTTCTATTTTTGATTTAAACGAATCTAGCTTTGTTTCTTTAATATGCTCGGTATTTATAGAGTAGACCGACTCTTTACAATTCTTTCGCTACAGTTCTACTATCTGTACTTTTCTATTCAAAACAATCCAGACGGGGGCCCCCCTATACTTTTGGTGGAGATTAAATCAGAGTATACCAAGAAATTCCTCTGTACTTCTCAAGTATATATCTCGCACGTTGACTCGTTGCAATTAAAACTTGAGATTAACTCTTATTTTAGTAATAATTTTCCTTTTCTTGAAATTATCAACGATCTATCGCTTGTCTTCAGTCCGCATATCTTCATCTCCGGTATACTCTTTTAGCTTCAAGCTTTCGAAGTCCCCGCGCTGCTGTCCTCTATGGAGCGCCTCCGAGGTCGAAGGTGGTCGATAGCAGATGAAACTGCCTTTCAAACGCGAATTTGAAAACTATTATGTCTTTTGTAAGACAGAGGTGGTCAATGGACGCGCGGTTCTTCGATGGAATCAGCTAATGACTGACAGCGCCATGTCTGGGCGTTTGAGAAATCTAGGAGAGATCCACGGCTTCCTTCAGTCAATGTTCGCCCATCGTTTTCGCTATGGAGGGGGAAAGATGTTAAACGGTGACAGCGCGGTCAGCGAAGCACAGCAAAATTTGACCATGAAACATGCTAACACCCGAACATTCTTGAATCATTATCTCCGACGACATAACGACAATGATATGCAGAGTGTTATTAACGGTCGCGAATCCACCAAGTCTCTGATGCGCGCATCCATGGATATATTGCCCTCGTGCTATCACCCTTTTTTTTTTTTTTTTTCTTTTTCATCTAGCTCGTGTCGCAATGCCGCTCGATATCCCGTTCCGCTAGTCTTCCACTATGGCAGCTGAGTCCTTGATTCTGCTGCGTAGAGCTAGCTACGAGGCAAGACGTGGTGGTGAGCGCAGTCACTAGGCGAAGAGGAGCACGTGGTACATATTATAGTTTTGTGTCGAATTTGTTGGCCAATGCGTTCACTTGTATCGAACCTTTGCTGCATGTCTGCTTATATGGAGGGCTCTGCTTCTTCTATCCAGCTAGGGATGAGCTGATAGTTTTTCCCTTATAGTTCGTGGATGGTTAGTCCATAGTCTTGACTTGATAATTGGATTAAAGCATGAGAAAACCGTAAACCACGAGCCATCAAAGTCTTGAGGACGCTAAGACAAGAGGCCTGCCTTTGCTTTGCTAGTATATCCGCCTCATTTGCATAGAGATCTTTTGCAATTGACAAAGGGTGTAGCAAAATAATCGACCCAGCCGTGCCCTTATCCGCGGCAATACAGTATTCAACTGAAGAACAAATGGCATCCGCAAATTGCCGGGCAATAGTCTGAGGGTCCATGTCAACTCTTAAGTGCGCAAATAACCAAGCCTTCGTCGGTATAGGCGCTTCAGATAAAAAGCAGCTCAGCTTCTCATGACAAATAGTAATACAGCGCAAAACAACAATCATTGCGGCCCAGTAATGTGTCAGGGCCTGCGCAACCATGAGGTTGGGAAACGTCACCGGCGCTGGTAAGGTATTTGTGCTAGTGTTGCTTGGAGACATGACTGCAGATATGTCCTTTTTATAAACTTGCAAACAGCCCGTTGTAGCATACCAGGAAAATAAAGATTGTGCGATGGCGACTGAGCGCTCAATGAGAGCTCTAGCTCTGGTAATATTTTCTGGCTGGCATATGGGCTGAATTGAAAGGGTCCAAATATCCTGCAGGACCGATGGGATAGGTATAATTTTCTCAATAAGCAGGTCATAGTAACTCTGGTTTGCAGTTTGTGAGAGCCGAGCCATACCTGGATCAGCTAGAGCAAAGGACCACTTCGTCTCAGATGAGGAATGGACGGCATCCAATGCTTGATTTGCCTTGTGGAATGCTTTAGAAGCCCCCAAGGTAAGGTCTCTCCATATCCCTGTGACACGAAAGCGAATAAAGAGGTCTCGGCCCAACTCAGTCTCTAGGATACTTAATCCCCTGGACTTGATGAGCTCGCAGCCGCCCTTGTTGTGGCTAAACCAGCCATGTTCGTGACCAAGATGCTGAGAATACATCTGGAATAAGAAAGTTAGTACAGTACTCGGTGTATTTGCCAGCCTAGGAAGGACCTACCTCGGACATACCCACGCACATTATCGACGCTAGGGTGTAGTCATCTGCGATAAATGCGGGAGCGGTCATGGCCCTAGAAATCGTTTTCACAGCTTCTTCATACAGGAGCAGTGACTGCATCTGTAACTGACGGTCGCCTCGCATCTGACCTAGATAGGCCGCAGCGAGTGTCGACATGGCAGTGTCCAGAACGGCGCTCGTGCCCTGGAGACTTGGGAGCCGTTGCACCCAATAGTGGTGCGGCCGTGCTGCTTCATCTGGTATCTGAAAGTAATCAGGGCAAAAAGAACTGATAAAATGAGCGAGCAATTGGTCCCTCTGTGAGGGTCTTGGGTTCGGAGCTGCGAATATTCGGGTGTCTTGCGTCATCTCGCTTCCACTATTAAGAAGTGGTGGATTCTCGTAAATCTCCTTGTTCCGGGCCACAATCATATGTGATGGTATTTTTTGAGTCCCAGTCATTATGGTATGGTTGACAAATATACGCGGCCGTCCATATCCGCGACAATGATGGCCATTCTTGGAACAACGATCACAGCATGGTAGCTTCGCATCACACTGTCAAGAATGAGCTAGCGCCAGGCACTATAATATAATGTTTCAACACACCTTGACCTTCCGTGCCCGGCACGTGAGGCATCCATTTGATCGTCCAGGTACATTAACCATTGTCTGGGTTGGCAAGTAAGCTGATCTGTGCATGTTGAGGTGTTTTCTTTGAGGTTTCATTGTGGAGGGTGGCACGGGCGCTAGACCCGCCGAGGCAAAACAAGCGGGTGAGCACGGACATACAACAGCCAGGATCCGCATGTGGTCAGCCTAAATGTATTCATGAGGTGGGGGGAGTACACGATTTTTAAAGGTTTTTTCTTGCACCCCACCCCCCCCCCCCCTAAGTACCCGAAATCTTGATATTTTTTGATCGGGGGTTTGAGATGTTTTAAGAGATCTATCTAAACTATCTTTCTGCCGATTTAGATTCTAGGATTTCTGACTAGAAGGGGTTTACCCTATTAGGGTGGGGTTAAGGCGAATTTTTTTGGATGGGGGATGCCAAGGCCAGGCCTTGCGGGTAGCCTATACCCAATTCGGCTACGGGTTGCTAACCCCGTCTATCGGAACAGAGATTAAAGAGCCATATGGGTCAACCGATAGAAATCACAATGAGTCTGAATTGCTTCTATGCCCCTAGCTGGCAATTTGAATGGGATAAATACATAACTAATCTTGGCGGATCTATAGTATCTCCTTTCTCCGGGTATCCACCAATCCTGCTGCTCCGACACCATCTTCGTAGCCTTAACTATCAGGCTTCTACCTGACCGACTCGCCAGTTGCTAGCTAGATTCTAGCGATTTCGAGCCTTCTCCCTAGAGGATTTGGGGAAAACAGTAAATAAATGGATAGGTCAAAAGACAGAGGGGCAGGGTCCTACATAATTAGGTAGACGACTTGCATAGAACAGTGCATGAAGGATGCGAGGTGTAGACCTCGACACGGCCCGCCCATAGGCCGAAGATCTCAGCCCACGGCCCGTCCATGGGCCGCCCACCTAGGCTGCGCCTATAACCCGCCCGCCCGATGGGCTATGTGGGCGGCCCATGGGCGGCCCAAACAGCCCATTTTCTGCTTCTTCTGCATGATTAGGATGGATAAATCGCTGATTAAGCTTGCAATATTACTGTTTTTTATCTTTGTTTTGGCCCTTTCATAGACACCGGGTCTTGCTTCCCCTTTAGATTAATGAAATTTTACAAAATGCCTTTATCAAGTGATTTTCTAGTGTATGATTAAGCATTTTTGCAGTTCATAAGAGATCAATAAGGGGATATTGCTAATTAAAATCTAAGCATAGAATAGAGACCTATACTGAATGCGAAAATATATACTTCCAACATACAGTCTCGATACCACAATCTTCTAATTATTTATTATATATCAAATTTAGGAAACTTACTATAATTCTATACTATTTCTAGCCTTTTTGTATTCAGTTTGATATGATTTAAGTCTTAATTCCTAATCCCTCTTCGTTATAGTGTAAAAGTGAAATGAATACGTTAAAAGAGTGATTTATGGATGAAGTATTTTACGGGGGGTATCGCCCTCAATGAAATTTTTGGGCTTCTGGGCGGCCTATAAGCGGCCCATAAACCGCCTATCCTTACTAATCTAATAGAAATCATACGGATATTCGGGTAGCTTCCGATAATATATAATTAGCTATACTTCTACTAATAAAACTAGCTAAACCCCTGCTATAGTGCTTAAGATGATATATTAACTACTCTCTAAAACCGTCCTTAGGGACGAATAAACAGATTCTAACCATTAACTCCTCCATACTTAAGGTATCTATATCTTCCTAAGTCTCCTCTCACTCCCTTCCTGAATACTATTATCTATCGTAGTACCTTAGTTATCTAATATAGATTCCTTATCTCTCTATTAGGGTGATGATCTAGATTAACTATCTTCTTTTCTACCTAGTAACGCTCTTCGTTCTTTACCAGAGCCTTCCCGAAGCTATTAGACTCTTCCCTCGACGGGTACTCCTAGTCTCGCCTTACCGGATTCGATCCCTTATACCCTATAACGTGTTAGCGACCGGAGGAAAACCTAGGTACTTTATACAGAGATGATAAGTGCTGAATTTCTTAACTAGTAGTTTGATATATAGTTTAGAGTAGCGGACGATAAGAAGAAGAAGATATATTAGGATAGACGGGGCTATTATTCAGAGATATAGGTCTATTTCGAGTAAGTAGCCTATTATATTATAGGAGAGCTAAAGGTAATATATAAGAGATATGAAAAGATTCTTAATTATCCAAACTATACCTTAAATAGAATAAACGCGCTTCGAAGGCATTTAAAAATAGAGTTATGCCGGAAAGGGAGATAAGCAGTTAAATAGCTAAGTATATAGCGGTTAATAGAGTAAGCGGTATTAACTCCTACTAAAATAAGATAATAGGCTATAAGGGAGCTAACTACCTTTTCTATAAGGCTCGAGATTCCCCTCTGGTTGTATCCTCTTTTACCGAGGAAGCTTAGTAGCAAGAGATTATTAGTATAATCACCACTCTTCGCCTTCCTTTTTAAATAATTAAGCACCCGTAATTTTAAAAGCTTCTTCGTATAACGTAGTTAGTACCCTCGCTTCCTACCTTTCTGTCGGACTCTAGGCGGTGACCATAAAGTCGTGGTTATACACACAAGACGATAGTGTGCATAAGGGTAAATACTCAACGTAGTGTCTGAATACACGGTTATGAGTCTATCGGTCGTGCGCACTTCTATGAAGGAGAAGTACCACGATTGTGGAAGAGTACCACTGATCTAGAAGAGAGATCACAAAGGATGATAAACTTGATTCAATTTAACTAGGTAACATAGCAGTATTTATATCACAAGAAACATAGCAAAAGATCACATGATAAATCAACAGAATCAGAGTGTTGAGAGTCTCTTGCTTAGGTAGGCAATCATATGCGAGATCGTTGAGGATCAATCTGTTAGATCTTTATAGAAGAAGATCTATATGTAGAGAGGGGTTATATGAGTAGGTCCTTCGTCATGTGACCCTACAACATCCACATGTTGACACACCCCCTCAGTTCTCGATGTGAGAGCGGAATGAGAGCAAAGTGAGAACTGAATAAGAGGAAAGAGAAAGATATGGACTAGATAGGAGGTGGTATCTCCATGCCTAGTTGTCTGATGAAATCGTCATGCTTCTGCCTAGGTAGGCGTTTGGTAAGACCGTCTGCGGGCATGTCGGTGGTTTTGACCCATTGGACAGATAGGCGTTTTGCCTGCACCTCTTGACGAATCCATAGGCGGTTGATATCCACGTGACGAAGTTTAGTCTGAAAGACTGATTTTTCGCGATTCAATAGGTCAACGGTTTGCTTGTTATCGCAATTCAACACTTCTGGTTGGTCGGTATTGAATTCGATGAATGAGAAGAGACGTTTAACCCAGTATAGCTGTTTAGCTGCATGTGACATAGCTAGTAATTCAGCTTCTGTGGTTGACGTGGTAATCGTCTTCTGCTTGCGAGATTTCCACTCGATTGGACCACCAAATAATGAGAAGATGAAACCTTCTGATGACTTCCTATCAAGATTATCGGCAAAGCTTGCATCGGACGAAGCAGTGAAGATCTGGCTATCTGATTGGCTGCCACCAAAGCAGATCGCTAGGTCTTTCGTGCTATATAGGTAGGAAATCAGATGGTCTACTGCAGCTAGGTGCTTCTCATCACAGCGTGTGAGCGATTTAGCTAGCAGCTGATTGGCGAAAGCGGTGTCCGGTCGTGTCCAAACAGCGGGGAAAAGGGTTGAACCACACTTCTGCTGGTATAGTTTGATAGTTGATGGGTTGATTTGACCAGTGATCGGATCAAGACGTTGATTGCTGACTAGTGGTGTATTAGGCGGTTTTCTGCCTAGGAGGTTGAATTTAGTAGCAATCTTTTCAATATAGGCTGATTGGTTTAGCCAGGTCTTTCGTCGCTGTCGGTCGCGTATAACTCGAATACCGATGAATTGGGTAAGTTCGCCACAGTCCTTCATCTCGAAGCGTTGTGAGAGAAGTTGCTTTATCTGGTGAGCGTGCAAGCTCTCACTCTTGTGGTATGCAGCCAGGAAATCGTCCACAAATACCATAATAACCATGCGATTATCAGTGTAAAGCGCAGGGTCTTCAGGACAGGATTTAAAGCCTAGTGAGAGAAGTATCTCTTTCACGTCGTCTTCCCATCTCTTACCAGCGATTCGAAGACCATATACTGCCTTATGTAGGCGAAGGACCTTAGTCTTTCGTCCTAAACCTGGTGGGTACTGGCAGTACACTTCTTCTTTAAGATCGCTATTTAGGAAAGCGTTGACTGCATCCATCTGAAAGGTCTCTAGGTCAAAATGCGTGATGATCGCTATGAGCGTGCGAAAGGTCCTAGCAGCAAGCGTGCTAGTGCGTGGATCCTGGTCGTCAGGTTTCTGTGTATCTCCGCGTACGCATAGACGCGCTTTGAAGCGTGTGAGGTATCCTGATTCGTCAGATTTATAGGCAAAGACCCATCTCATTGGTATGAGCTGGTGGCGTGGGCAATCTGATTGGTTAAGATCTTTGCAATTCGATTGGTGTGTGTATCTGACGAGATCTTTGTTGATAGGTTCGAACGCGTGCATATCCAGAAGCTTATTGAATTCGATTCGCATAGCTTGTCGGAATTGGCTTTCAAAAGGATGGCTGGTCAATTGGTGGTAACCAGATGGTGGTGGTGGAATCGTTGATATCAAGACCTTTGGTTGATGAGATTGGTCTGTTGAGAAAGCTTGGAAATAGGTTATGAGGGATAAGTGAGGGCGTTTTCTCTCACTTTCGTCGTCGGTTGAATCGGAATCTGATCGTGGGCGTTTAGTTGG